GTGTGCCAGAGGTTCCACTAATCGTGTGTTAATTATATACGTGAGCATAACGTTTTGAGTTAATGGTTGAGGTTCGTTTTTATTTTCATAATGATCTCTGTTTTGCAGTGGGCCTAACGTGCTTTTTTTCATGTTTTTTGCATGTTGATAAACCTGCGTTACCAAAAGAAGGCCGACCTAGCCGTGGCATCCCTTACCATCAGCTCAGAAAGGGAAGAAGTGATTGACTTCACCAAGCCGTACATGACGCTCGGAATTAGCATACTGATTCGAAAACCAGACGAAGCTAAACCGGGATATTTCGCATTCTTACAGCCACTCCATAATGTCGTCTGGGTGTCAGTGCTCATCACTTTCTTTATAACAAGTTTTATACTGTTCTTATTAAACCGAACCAGTCCATATGAATGGAAACGTCTTGCTGATCGCGGCCATGTTTCTAAATCCGAAGCCGGAAATCTGGACTTCATGAACGGGTTGTGGTGGTGTTACGGCAGCTTCATGCAGCAAGGAGTCGATTACTCGCCGAGGTCGACAGCTGCTCGTGTCGTTGGGGGTTCATGGTGGCTTTTCTGTCTTTTTCTTGTAACATCATATACAGCTAACATGGCGGCATTTCTAACGATCACACGTCTCGACACGCCAATTCAAGGGGCGGAGGATTTAGCTGGACAAACTAAGGTTAAATATGGAACCGTCATAAACAGCCAACCGCAAACGTTCTTTCAAAATTCTAAAAACTATTTGTACCAAAGGATGTGGTCTTACATGGACAACACCCCGGGAGCCATGGCCAATAGCACAGATGACGCTGTACGTAAAGTACGAACTGAAAACCACGCGTTGCTATGGGATTCCACTGTTAATGAATATTTAGTTCAAAAAAAGCCATGTGACTTGATGACTGTCGGGACAACCTTTGATCTCAAAGGATATGGCATTGGACTGCCGATGGGGGCGCCGTATCGAGATGATTTCACAATTGCGTTACTAAAAATGAGAGAAAGGGGTAAGTATATGGTTTCTTATGCCTAAACAAACAAAATACATTGTGGGATATAAGCCCTTTCAAAACCCGTGGGTTGTTGCAGTATTGCAAATTTGCAGCGCGTGTTATGTAAATTTTCTTTAAGACTGAAAACAACCAGTATATAGCCAACTCAGTTTTAAGCGTATTCTTCTACTGCGATGCGTTTACTCATTACCATGCATGACGTATTTTGTCGGACCGATCAGCTGATTGGCTGAACTTGAATAGGCGACAGTGATGTAGGCCTATAGGTGGCGCTGTATTGTTTTGTTACAGTTGTTAAGGACTATAGCTTTGTGATGAATAAATTTAATAATGAATTGTATTCCTTCGATAATGAAAACGGACTAGATGGAAGTTGAGCGGTTACAATATTGCGAATTGTGGCGCAACAGCACAGGGCCCGCTTAGATTGAAATGAGTGTGTCCATAGATATGATTCCGTTAATAGAGTGATGAATACATTATAAAGATAATTCCTGTAACAATTTGAGAAAAATAACAAATCTAACTATGCCGTTACAGGTTTCTTAGAAGCCATACAAAGAAAATGGTGGACGGAAAGAGGGGAGTGTCCTAAAACCGAGATTTTGGGGACGAGCGATATTCCAACGCAGCTAGGTTTCGATCAGTTTGCCGGGGTCTTCTGTGTCGTGGGTGCCGGTGCGGGCATGGGATTGATAACTGCATTAATCGAGAATTTTGTGCATGTGAGACATAAACAAATACGGAAGCGGAAACGGAAGAAGTCACAGGTAATGACTAATTAAATATACACATACATCTTTAATTCACTCGATTCTACTTGTTCTAGCTCTGATATTTAACATTTGGCGTCCCTAACGTGGCGGTTTTTCGACATAACTCATGTGTCTATATCAAATTGGATTATATCTTTCCACAGTGCGATAGACATTGCAGAATGTGTCGTCGGAATGACTCTATGTCCCTTCCTTGCCGGAACTCGTCCAGTGAAAGAATCATATTATCGTACTCGCCCAAGGTCTAATCAGCTGTTTATTATATTCGTGAGTTTTCTAGGAACGGAACGCGAAATATTTTATTGATCATATCATGTTGCTTGGGTTTAGGTGTTTAGACGGTGAACGGATCTCATGATTGAATCCCTCAATTACAGCAAGGAATCGTCCTTATAGATCACATATCCAAAAATGAAAATATAGTTTCCGTAGTTAAAGCGCAGCGCGTGTTGGAATTTCATGTAAATATAAACAAAGTATTTTACACGCGTTGTATACGTCGCTATGAGTCCCATATCGAACAGGACGCGGCGCGACGACTACCGCCCTTTAATTTGCGTCTTCATTCTTGAGAGCCGTTCACTTAGTAATATAGTCCCCAGCATAAAGTAGATATTCCCACTAAAGGTCGTTAGTATTATGGCGTGATACACGGATCAACAAAACAAAATTTATCAGTGATTTTGAATGTTACATGTTGACAGACTTCCGTCAACTAGAGCACGTCCCTGTTTCAATCAACAAGTTGAAGATGTCTGTCAACATGCAACATCCCATGTTACGCGGATCATTGTTGATCCATATATCGTAAACTTTAGTTGGCTAACCGTCTTGCCATTGTCTGTAGGCCCGAATCATAATTTTGTTTTGGCCGAGCTTCTTAATTTTGCATTTCTGTGGAGCATTGCACAAATAGAAACTTCTTTGTAGAACGAGGATAACGTTTACGTAATGGCCCAGAGAAGGTCGTAATCACATAGCTTGAATAGCAGACTAGTATAGATTTCTTGATCCGATGTCATTAAGCGTCTGTATCTGTGTCAACCAACCAATCAAATTGCCACTCTCACTGCCTTAGGTATATATATTAGAACACTATTGCCTGAGTATGCGTCATGATACACGCGGTCAATGTACTTGCACGTGATTGGTCACTGTAGTGGGTCCACACCGTACATGCATGCGTCGGTCACACTGTGAGTAAGGTACACCAAGGTTGCTAATTTGCATAAACATACCTATTTATACTGACAATGCATCATTTGGTTATATGTGTTTGTTCTTGTGTGTTAGGAATTGACCATTAAAAACTCGAGGTGGTAAATTTCGAAAAACAGTCTGCATAGAAAACAAAACAAAAAGGTTGAAAAAGCACATTTGATAGATGACAGCAAAATATATTCTACAGCAACATCACCCTGAAAAGGGTCAACCACCACCCCTCCCCCCCCCCCTGCCTCGCAACGTTTATACTGGTTAGCTCCTCGTGTGAAACTCTGGGGATTAAGGTTAATCCCTAATTTGGCTTTAATCTCGGAAACCGATATTTTAGGGTGTTTCAATTTCAGTGTAAGAAATGGTCTCACTTTCGATGAAGATATACATCGTCTGCTTATTCTTGTCGAGATTCACTCGTTGCACTTAAGTACAAATGTCGTTAAACAAGTTTAAAATTGTGGATTAACTTTTTCCTAGTTTTGTGCTTTAATTAATAATATAAACAATTATAATATTTTAAGTGTTGTTTTTTTGTATTACAGAGGACAGATTCAGCTGGTTTGCCGTACAATGGCGTGAGATACGGAGCCAGACTTGCCGAGTTTAGTCCCATTGATGACAAAGTGTCGACGGTATAGCGTTAAACGTTGACTTGTGAACAATCTCGCGGGATCTCTAAAAGAATGTTGCTATGGTAACATGTGAACAATCACGGTATGCGCCGACGGCACGTGAAAAAACACGTTATTATAACTTGTGAACATTTACGCGAAATACCTACGCGAATTTGCTATGATAACATGTGGCTAACCACGCGAGATATCTGCGGTATGGGAACATGTGAACAATCGCACGAGATTTCTACGTTATCCCGTTATAGGAAAATGGAAGCAATCACGTGAGATCTAGGGTATCGCGTTACGACAACATGCAACATTCTCGCGAGATTTCTGCAGAATAGCGTTTTGGTAACACGCAAACAATGACGTGAGATCTTTCATGGAATCAAGAGAAGCAATATAAACTTCAACTGAATGTTTTGCTTAAAGTGGGAGGGTCGTCACCTGCGCACGCGCGGGAATTGAGTCTCAAGCGACGATGACAACACACACTAAAAACGCAAAGGCTCATGGCTAGACGCTTGTTTATAATGAACAATGACACGCTGTGGCCATCTGACGCATGCGTAGGTGACGACTCCACCGCTTTAATATTAACCCGTGTTGAAATTTTCGATGGGAAACAGTTGTTTTCAATGCATTGTGATTTATTCCATATTAGAAATTTAAGTGGATAGTATTTTTCGAAGCTGTAACAAACAGTATAGCGCTTTCCTCTACTAAACTGCCAAATTTCAGGACTAAACCATTGTACACAGCAGACGACTTTTTCAGTGCGTCGGGCTTCCATAATTACAGGGCATAGTAGAGCACGTCAATGACCCGTACTAGATGTCGAGTTTTTCAAGATGAAGTTTGACATTTTAATATTATTGAGTGTAGTACATACTAAGCTAGATGATGGACGTACTGTGTTAGTACGTCCATGGCTAGATAGACCATGAAGGCTTCTTCTTCTTAGATGGGTATGGATACCGGTACTTTCTGTGATACAGAACATTAGGAAATGAGAAATTACAAATAGATAATAACACAGCTACTATGACGTTATTATAGGTCACGTTATGATATAATGCCGGCCCCTGAGAGTAAACAGTACATGGATGTCACGAGTGTGGTTACTAACCTCGGTTAGAGTAGAACCCATTACAAAATAACAATTTTGCTTATGTACTTCATTAAGGTCATATAATGATTTGTCTCACTGCGTCATCTTTTTACAAACATATTGAGTTTCATCATATCTCATTTTGTGATTGCAAATGATACGGTCGTCATAGAAACGGTATATTTTGCTATCATAAACTGTTTCGGGTTTTAAAATAAAGTTGTTTTATCATTAAATTGTGTAGAAACAGTCCTTAAATTATAAATTTGCCATATATATTTTCCAATGTATACTAGAACTTTCACCTCGGGTACATTTTGTACTCAATATCCACCATTCCACGTACACGTTTTCACAACTAGTGATGTAGCATACGCTTGCAGGCGAAGATTATATTACTCACAGCGCCCTCCTTGTTACAACAAACTAATCAAAAAAGAATGTACATTGTGTTACCTTTTTTTACTTTAATTTCTCGAATAACTCCAAATTTACATACTGCGATTTGTTTAGAATGATGACATCACAACCAGTCTTATTATTAGCGAAATAAGCAATATGTACATTTGATTAATAGTTGGTGGGTTTTTTTCTTACTAAAGGTTTTGTCATGTAGACGTATCCGTAGCTTTTTTATTTACATTTATTATGCTTATATGCTTACATGATGTGTGCGTTGGTGAATGAAAATTACATGTATTTCACATCATATCGCTGGTCAGATATGACGATTAAATGTAAAGATATGTAATATCCGTAGTTTAATAATTACTTTGGTCGAAATATTGTTTGTTATTAGAATCATTCGTTTTGATAACGAAACATGCACATTGACACATTTTGTGTTTAGCCAAGCTATACACACCATTCAGTGTTTTTATTGACGTAGGATGTCTACAGACACAAGGTTGAATGAAACGTGCTATATCACTTTCATAACCTGTATTACCATTTTGTCTTAGATATTTTGTTTACATTTCCGCGATTGTTCCGCTTCCAGTTTCTAACATTTTAAACACATATATTGAAAGACAGTTGAGAGGTAAGGCGATTAACAGTTTCACTTACATTGTTGTCTTACTTGCAGCGTTTTGTGTCTCTCGGCTAACTTTTTGAAAGCAAAATAAATTTATTATCACGTGACTAAAGGCATATTTATGATATATTTATTAGTCTGCCTTCAACTATGATAAATCAAAATTGGGACTCGCAGGGGCAATGCTGAAAGGGTTTGTTTAATTGAATTTATGTATTTGTTTTCTAAATAAAGCTTTTATTTGACCAAAAGAAGACATGTGTTGTATTTTGTGTGGATCTCATCGTCTCAGTGCAAATGTTATAGCAAACCTCAACAACATGGTGCGCCCTCCAGCGACAAGCGATACTGTGACGTCAAAATGACGTATATGTGTGTAAGCATTGTCGTCACGGTGTCAATGACTGTTTATGGCTGTGTTAGTATGTCTCGGCTGTTTATTGGTCATTGCTGATGATTTACACACTCAATCGGAATATAAATCCGACTTCAGATTGGAAAGAAAGTATTTCCTGCTAAATAAAATGACTTGCTGTTCTATATAATATTCAAACAGCGTTGAGGGATATTTATCTAAGAATAGAAACCCAGTGTAAGGTTGGCCTCTTATCACAAAGTTTGTAACTATAACTGACTCACTTGAGTGGTACAATTTGTATGTTTGGGGTTACAATGTACAAGGAATTCGCTATGGAATTATATTCAAGGATAAGAATGTAATTTATATGTATATATGAATTTCACTTACTTATAGTGTACTCTAGTCTATATTCTTTTGAGAGCAAACAACTTTTGATAATGATAGTGCCAATAATTATTGCCATTCTCTCATAATATATATATAACAAGGAAAATAAAAACGTTGATATATTGTGATATTCAATTGATATAATACACGCGAAAGTAAAAATATTTTATTACCAGTATGTTTTCATATTGATATATGATGTGTTTTATCATTGTGCCAGGGGACGCCAGCTTATATTTAAAACTGATCCATTGAATATGACGCTAGAATAAGCAATTCTTACATGTGTGAGTGGTGAAAAACCAAACAGGTTTTGAGATGGCGGACCATGGTCATGACTGGATCAAATTTTCCAATGATTCTAGTACCCGCTCAATCTTGGACGACCTATTGTATACAATACCCTGCTCCATGCAGTCGTACGTAGAATATGGTTTGAACCCTGTGGCATTCATTGTTGCTTCACATAATATTTGTAATGCCATTGGCTATATTTGTCATCGTCTGTAAAGTAGTCCGGGCCGGTTCAATGTATTC